ACCCTCCAATTTTGACATAAAAGTCTGAGACTGCCTAAAGTAGTTATGAAATCATTAATTTCTTGTAGAAGTGAGTAAATGAAATTTATTGGTTCATGGCTAATTAAAATAATTAAATGTTGCCTGAGTGTGTTAGAAGGAATTTGTGAATGTATGCTTTTATGAGGCATAGAAATCTACCTTATTTTCTTAGCTACATGCTCTTAGTCTTATTAGTTTTCCATTCTTTATAGTCAATTAGTCATTGCTAAGCGTTTACCTTTCAACTTTCAAGTGTTGAGTAAATATTTATGTTTTTTTTTTTTTCACATTTACAAGTTATAATATATTTACACACAATTTTTGCACATTACACGCAAACCATTCATCACTCTATTATGAATGGTTGAGATTTATCTACTTTTTATCCTATTTTAAAATTTTTTTTAAATATAATTGTCTTTTTCATTTGAAAAATTGTGATAAACTTCAACCATTCATTGAAGAGAGATGGATGCTTTAGATTTTTTGTAAATGTAAGAGTTATGTAAAAGAGGATCCTAACTCTATTTGTATAATCTTTATTTTGGGTGTTTAATTCATATATGTGATCAAATTATGTGTTCACACCAGTTGTGAAAGGCATAGGAATGATATAGTCACTCAATAATACTATAAGTCAGAAAGAGAAACTTTTACTTAAAAAAGGCAAAAATCTAATGTGTTAGACATTTTGACTCTCTCTGAAGCACACATCATTACATGAGGTGTATTTGCTAATTGAGTGGTAAATTAAAGAACAACATTAATTGTGTTTGTTTATAATTAATTAAAAAGAATCATTGGATACATTTGTAGGGGAAAAGAAATTAATCATCTTCCAATGCACTCAAAATATATGAACTCTTGAATATGATTGGAAACTTGATCAGAAGCCCCTTACGTAAATTTTTTGCCTCTCATAATTACATGTTTAACTTCCAATTAATTGCAAGCATTTTGTGTAGAAAATGGCCTTAAAGGCAGCAGGTATGTATGTAGAAGAAATTCATGAAATCTTTTACTTGGTTCAAAAATAAAGCTAAGGGATGCACTTCTACTTTTCATGATTTGTACCATAACCCATGGGATTGTGATAGAGCAGTGATTGAATACAAGGAAGCTGTGAAGAAAGCAAGACATATCCAGGATCAAGTGGCTTGATTTAGCTTGGATTTATGTGTTTTGTGATTTATTTGTTTTGCATGTTGATAGAATTTCGAGGTATGTTCATGATGGTTTGGAGTAGATGTACTCCTATTTAATATAAATTTCATTTTGTTGGCTGAAGAAAAAAAAAATGCTCTTGGATGAGTTTACTTGTCCTTGAAAACTAGTGAATCTAAACATTGTTTCTTCTTATTTTGAGTGTGTCTTCGATAATTAACTTTCTGAGGCAGCCTCTTCCTCTTTTCATTTCGTTGTATCTAAGCTTTTTCTTTTTTCTTTCTTTTTTTTTTCTTTTTTATTTTTTTATATTTTTTAGGTATATAGAATGATGGGTTTATATACAATATAAGATTGTCTTCTCCCTCTACCTCAAAATTTAAATTTTAGACCTCCAACCTGAAATTCCAAGCTTTGGATTAATTGTTGGGATATCTTCTAGGGATTTATTTAAGGTTCTCTAATGCTTTAGAGCATAGAATATCCATGTTAAATTTTGACAACCAACATCTAGCTACTATATTTGCACTTGCTTCATTTTTATTTAGGCGTGTGTTTGGTTTATGCTAAATTTTATGGAGTAAAATTACACCATCCACCCTAGATTGGTTCTTCACCGAATCCTTTGTCACTCTTCATGACCAATGATTTATTATCATTAGTAACATGACTAACTTTTAAAGGACTATTTTAGGTTTTCACTATCTTTAATTTCCTCATATTTGGAAATACCATGTTGTTTTTCTTATTTTTGATAAATCTTTTTCTATTTTGTATTTACATAATACTCAATTTTGACTTATCTTTTTTTGAATGGATTACATTTGATTTCTTATAGTAATTAATTACCTCTTGAAAGTTAGAAATGTGATAAGGTTATATATATTTTTCTAGTTTGTTTAATTAGCAATGAAAAACAACTATAAAAGTGTGATTTGAATTCAAATATATGTCTTCACTCGCAGTTTGGTAATGTAAATTTAATTTTCATGTCTTGAAAATATAAGCATTTAAAAATATTTTGTTTGGTTGAAACATAACTATCACCGTTTTGAAATCCATGTATATATTTTATATTGGTTGGGAATACATATTTATATTATTAAGTATTTGAATTTTGCATGGATCTGAGATTTGTGAGATTCACAATGTAATTTTGTCACTAATCTACTCTTTTTTATAGACAAAGCCAAACAAATGTACTCAAAATTGAGGATTTAAATTCAAGTTCACACTCAAATTTGTAATTCTCAAACCAATTAAGTTATAGATTTAACAAGATGCTAGAAGATGTTGAAGCTGCGTGTCAAATTTTTCAATGGCAATGCAATGCCCTATAAATATGTTAAGTCTCCTTTGTAAAATAAGTTAAAAGAACCAAAAAAAAA